TCACGTCAATGTTAAAAAATAAATAAATTTCAATTTGCTTTTTTTTTTTAGATGTGAATGATAAAGTTGCCTATCTGAACTTGGTGGGATACAGGGCAGGTGAAGTAGAGTTCATCTGTTTCTTTGTCCTCAGCATATGAAGGGAAAATGTGGTCAGAGACATGCTAGGCCGGAATTGTTTTTTTTAAACGATAAAAACAATTTGTCTGAGACTTGGAGGGACACTGGGCAGGTAAAGTAGAGTTGAGTAGGTCACCTGTGACGTCAGTATATGAAGGGATAGTGTGGTCAGACCTATGCTCAGCCGAAATCGGTGTTTTTAAAAGATAAAAAACGTCTTTTTGAATGTGGGGGGTCTGGTTATTTTGTGATGATAACTGACAGACGTGATGTCATTTATGGATGACCGCCGAAACCCACCGTTATCAAAGGGATGACCGGGTAAGTCTAGTAAAAAATAAAAATCGGTAAGAATTCTAAAAGTTTTAAAATGTTACTAAGCGTCTTGCTCAGTAATCTTTACAACATTTATTTTATACACAATAATATACAATTTTTTAAAATATAAATATTTTCAAACGCTTTTTTTTAATTATTCAGCGTTTTTTAAAACATAGACGCTTCCCAATGTTTTCTTGAAGACGTTCTGTTTATCAAGTAAATAATAAATGAACATACACGAGTTGAGAGATAGGCCTACTGCTTTTAAATACAAATTGCGGAAGTGTTTTTAAAGCGTTGTTTGCTGATGGTTGTTTTAAATATTTAGGATGGAAAATTAATTGCGGGTCAAAGTTTAGAAACACGAAGGCGTTTAGAATGCGTTTATTTCTAGCGTTTAGTGTTTCTAACACCGGCGTCAGTTCAATTATTTTATCTATGGCTCGCATTTACTTGGTTGGTCATCTAAACACTGACGTTACTTTATTTATTTATATCTATGGCATTGGTTCTTAACGTGGATTTTATTGAACTCCAGCGGGTTTGATGAGTCATTATGTGACGTTTTGATATATTGTTAGGTGTAAGTGTACGTGTACTGGTAGGCATAAGAGTAACTGTAAATGTAGGCGTTTTGTCGACGTAGATATGTCTACGTTTGTGTGCGCGTGTACGGTTACGTGTAGGCATACGTGTCCGTGTACAAATATATTATTATGTGTTCGTTGCTTGGATGAGAACGTGTACATGGACGTGTTTTACACGTGTACTGCATGTGTACATGCGCTCCACGTGTACATGTATGTGCGCGTGTATGTGTACGTGCACGAGTATGTCTACTTGGAATGTTGGTAGGATATCATATAATATGGATACATAATGAATTCTTTTAACCTGCACCACAGCGATAAGCCAGTACAATTTTAATTAAACTTGGCCAGTAAACAAATTTACAAATATTTTCGATAAAATTAATATTAACCAGCTGCTACTTGACTACATCAGTCCCCTATCATTCTCTTCGTCCTAGTGTACGTTGACAAAGACGAGCGTGTAATTTATAGAACATAATACATTCTAGTAGATTAATGATTCTCGTTCCACATTGTTTTCAAGCAAGTTATTGGCCCCTGTACAAAGCACGCAGAGCTGAGAAATATTTGGCCGGTTTAGCTTGATTTACAGGACTAAACATGGAATGTTTTATTCGATGGAAGCTTGGCGTAAAAGAATTTGATAATAATGCATGTGTTGCCCCTGCTACGTTATTAGTGTATCAGGCACAATCCAATAATTTTGAACATCGTTAATAAAATACACGCATGCCCACAACATAATCAGTTGGAGTTATAAAATATCATTTTTGAAAGTTTTTGGACAGGGGGGGGGGGGGGGGCTAAATGCCTGGAAGAAACTCTGTCATCCGGTCTGAACGCTACCTGATAAGTGTCGTGGAAATTGTGCGAGTGTTGTATAGCGAACATTTTGCTTAAAGCTTCAGTCTCCAGATAGCCACACCCTACTCGTACCTGTAGCTTTATTACACTGACATCTGTACATCTTCAAAAATTTCATCTAATAGTACTCTAACATTGATTTCAAGTCTAAAAATTTCATCTCTTGTTAAAACTGAGTGGCATTGTCAGGTATTTTAATCAGCCCACACAGGCGTCAAAGCGATTTAGAAATGTCGCATTACATTGTGTCAATAGCTGATTTAGAAATGTCGCATTACCTCCCCACACATTGTATCAATAGCTGATTTAGTAATGTCGCTTACCCTCCCACACAAGGCGTCAACAGCTGATTTAGAAATGTCGCATTACCTCCCCTAGCCCCGGGTGTATGAAATTGCCGCCTCTACGTCACACTTGATCTTACAATGTAAAACATCCCCTTGTTAAAGACTGGATAATTAGGATACTTGTTTCGTCGCAAGACTAGAATTTCTTCTTACATTTCATTTCTAATTGTTTCTTCTTAAATTTAATGAATTGATTTTAAACACTTTAGGTTCTGAAATTATTTTATCTGAGTTCTATTATAATTTGTTTATCAAACAGAAGTTATAAACATTAATATAAACATAGAGTCAGCTCAGATAGGAATTATTTCAGCCGTCTAGAGAATTCTTTCTGGCACCGTATAAAAAAAGAGACACAGAACAAAAAAAAAATTAATTTTACATATTTGGTTCCCACAAGGAAATGATTTGAAATTATGTTGAGCACTGAAGATGGAATGGGACGGTTGACTTGACACCCGATTCAACAAGCCATACAAATCAACACACGGGAAGCGGTGACTGACAGGTCGTTGAGTTACTACACAACATAAACAACATACATAAAAAGCTACTTTCTGGTACCCATCCCCCCCCCTTATTCTAGTTATTTTAGTTAGGACGAGCTCAACATACCGTATATTTGAATTACAGGTTCGATTGCAACTCTCGCAATTTATACTACTCTGTCGTCAGTGAGCCGAGGCAGCTCTAATAGGTGCCTGGCATAAATTGGAGAAGATTATGAGCGGCTGAGCATCACACGACTATCAAGACCCCCTAGTGTGATATAACTTTAGAAATAGCCTGTTGTGTACTATAGTATTCACACAAACTGACTCATTTGTATGTAGTAACTATGGCATTGACAGGCAATATACGTGTAAAAAAAAGGGTATTCACAAAAATACGAGTATGTTTTATTTATTTCCATTTAAATTAAAAAAAAAATTGACACATTTAAAAAGCATATGAAAGCACAAGAAATGTCTTTGACACATAAGCAGAATTACAATTTCAGCTGTTACAAACCATATTGCACAGTCACGAGTCGCGATATCCTATACATGGGAGACAACCAAAACATTTCAACAAGGGGATGTAATCTGGAACGATCCAAAAAGGCTAGCAATACTCGCACTAGACACTAAACATGATTTTCATGAGGAGTTTTTGCTGATGTTTTGACACTCATGGATACAGCAATTAGTTTAATCAGGGATAAAATTAAATAATGTAAAAAATAAAATAATTTCAGAACAAAAACGTAGCTTATAAAAACAGTATTACAAAATACATGAAGAAATTAATAAAACAATATTTCAGGTCATATCCTGCAATTAGATAAACTTCTAAGTTGTCCTAGAAATATTTTTGCTCAGATCGCCTGTCAAGAAACACTGCATACAACATCCAACAAACACAAACATCAAACCTGTTTCTGAGAAATGGTCATGTTAGACTGAGCTCTCCAGCAGTAAAAAAATTGTTAAAACTGGGAACTCTACAAAGTGAAACACTTATTTTATTTACTGTGAGCACTCCAAAGTTAAAATTTTAATCCCAACAGACAACACGCTGTTAGATGGTGTTATCTTAAAAAATATCAACAGACTGGTGTCATGTGTTTTATTTTGGAATTTGTACACACAAAAAAAAGGAGTTGAATTTTGTGCTATTTTCAACCCAACACTTTACATGAGCAATATTTATATGATCACACTAATGTAAGCTCATAAACATTACAAGTACACCTGCTATTAATGTCAACAACCCCTTCATACTTTCTTAGCACAATACAACTCACTCAGTCATCTATTATTTAAAAAGCCAAATGATTAAATGTTTAATCTCAACACAAGACATTTTAATCCTTCAGACACAAGAGCCCTGATCCTCAACCCAATTCAAATAGCTGATTCATATTTCAAAGCCAAAAATTTGTGTAAATATTTCACTTGTTATAAACGATGGAGAGAGCTAGAAAAGCCTACAGTTTGAAATATGATTTTTTTAAAGATACAGTACAATCAGAAAACCATCTTATATTCAGCTCATTATGCAAATTTCTAATTCAAGCTTATTGATAAATATTCAGGGATCTACATCAGGCTTTGATGCAGCAAGTACAAGGGAAATAATACCTGTCAAAGCAGATAACTAATGGGACACTACTCACTATAGAAGTAAAAAAAAAAACATTGGCTACTTTGCAAGTAAAAGGAAACAACTAATAATTCACAAGTCCATGGTGATCTACTGAAAGGGATATAACTCATGATTCAGGATAATCTGTGCACAAGTAATAAAAAGCAATGTATTGGCCCAGTTTGATAATACAGTGGTAACTCAACATACCAGTGACAGAGTAGCAATATTACAAAACAAATTAAACATGTATCTCAAGGTATCACTGTAATTACCTTTCAGTAAAAGATGATACTATGTGAAGTATACTGAGCAAGAAATATTTTGGAAATGCTTTGTGCTCTTAGTACTGAGCAATACAAGAACAAAAATGTTTTGATTGTGTATATGTTTCCATTAAAATAAATATTTTAAAAGTACTAGAAAATAAGTGTTTTAAAAAAATTCTTGAGTATTGTAACATTTTGTCAATAAATTAATGGAATCATTAGTTGTATAACCATAGGTAAAAAGTTAAAATTGTAAATGTATTAAAAAAAAAATTAATAATTTACAGCAATAAGTAGTTCAATTTTGATCATTAGTCATTAGTTAAGTGGTGTGTGATGTCACACCTGTGTATACACCTGTGTTGGATGTCAGACACCTGTGTTTGATTTCAGATCATTAGTGCATGTAAAAAGATGTTTTGATCATGTTTTGATATTGATGCTTTAAACAAAAAGCATTGGAATGTATTAACAATATCTTTACCATTAAGTATAATTGTTATACGACAACAAACAACAGAAAAACATCTTGAAGCTTTGCGTTACATGAACAAAGATCCACTATTTACACTTTTTTTTTGTAGTCATAAATTATCGGAGTTTGTAAATACTTTCTCAAGGCCATCCGTGAAACAGGCCGATGTCAAGGACATTTATAATACAGGCCAGTGTCAAGGTCATTTATGATACAGGCCAGTCTCAAGGCCACCCATAATACAGGCCAGTGTAAAGGCCACCCCATTTTAGAGGGAAATGTCAAGGCCATATGGTCCACACCCAGTCAGCCAAAGAGGTACTGCCAGTGCCCCACACACAAGGGAATCACTTCTTACACATTCCCAGCTGGAATGTATTCTGCAGAATGTCATGCAAGTCTTTGACGCCGTTCACATCCACACCCTTGGCACGCAAGGCCTGGAGCTTCTTCTCCAGCTCCTGCTTGTCCTTGCCCAAAGTCCAGCACAGCCTGATGGTGGTCAGCATCAGGGACGCCATCGTCTCATCGTCGACGGCGCCGGAACATTTCAGCGCCACCTCAGCGCACGCCTCGGCCACCGCGTACTTCTCCATGTTAAGGTAGGATATAACCAGCCCACAGAGACAGTTAAAGACATGAGGGTGGGAGTCTCCACAGATCCTTTCCAGAATAGGAAGCGTCTTCTCAAAGTAGGACGTGGCCTTGACATAGTCCTTCTCCATAAAATTATGGACACCATTCGCAAAGTCGTCCTGAACGAAGAAAAACATGAAATCGCTACAGTACCTGATTTCAAAGTAAGAAAACAGGTGAGCCAGGTACTGCTCAAAAGCCGTGCTCCGTTTGGCGATGGTCTCGCTGGTGAAGTTGCCAGTTAAAACTTTGCGAGGGAAGGAGACGTTGGCCATGATGGAGGGGAATTTTTTCTTCAGCTGCTGGTGCAGGATCTCAAAGTCTGAGTACCTTCTTCTGACAATGGTCTGGGCTGTCCTGAGTGTCTCCTTGTGGGGGTTGATCAGGATGGAGTAGATCTGTGGTTGAGAAACAGATTGACCACACATCAAGTTATACAAGACTGGCCTTTGCATTTAAACATAAAAAATAAATAAGAAAAACAAATACAATGAAACCTCTAACGTCACTACAAGAAAACAGTGTAACCCAACATAGCATACAATTTCAAATCTAGATGTAGGAAAGCAGTAGAAATTTAAGCTTAAAGATGCAATTAGAAAGAACAATATATGCTTTGTATTAATGCTCAAAACAGGATGTGTGTTTTAAACTGTCAACTAAGATGTATCTTTCACTAGTAAAGTATTATCTGTCAAATACAAATAATGCTTGCTAACATGCATAAACGCTTACATTTTTTTTACTATATTACTCCATAGCACAGGTGTATCAGAACAGACAGTTTACAGGTGTCTCAAATATTATACTGACCACATGCCTTTAACAACACAGGTTACAGGTGTCTCAAATGTTATACTGACCACATGCCCTTAACAACACAGACAGTTTACAAGTGTATCAAATGTTATACTGACCACATGCCCTTAACAAGACAGTTTACAGGTGTATCAAATGTTACACTGACCACATGTCCTTAACAACACAGACAGTTTACAGGTGTATCAAATGTTATACTGACCACATGCCCTTAACAACACAGACAGTTTACAGGTGTATCAAATGTTATACTGACCACATGCCCTGACCTCCCTTCCTTCACAACTTCAGCAGAGATCACCTCAAATGTGACGTTACTTATGGTGGAAAAGCTTCCCTCACATGGCACTTTATAAGAGAAATCTGACAAGAAGAGAAATAATTGGCTTAATTAATCAACCATGACACTGATAAATTAATTTAATATACTTTTACATTTTTTTATTAGATTACATATAATGTTTTAAGCATTTACACTAAGAACTGAAATTCAAATTTCAAGTGTTAAAATTTTAGATATTTACTTTTATACTTTATTAATTGTTTGTAGTGTGTTAATGGAACAAGATAGCATCTATCAACTTTTAACTGTGTTATACTTGCTGCATTAGCTACCTTTCAATAACAAAAAACTTCTCAAAGAAGTTTACACTATCTTTAATCAAAAATAAAACAAGTAATCTATTCTACATAAATGTCTGAAGGAAATAAAATGTAAATACAAAATATATATTTTTAACATTGTCCTTGTCGCCCCCTTCTTGGAGAAAAAAACCTGAAAAAAACAACCACTGTTCATGATGCCATGATGCTCCTGGTCTTACCTTTACTAGGGTCAGTGGGGGTCTTCAGTAGTTCATCAGAAATGGCCAACATCCCGGATATGTCTCCCGTCAGCGTGTCCTGCTCGTCCACTAAACAATTTTCCTCCTGGATGGTATCCGTGGGTTCACTTTTCTTTTCGTCCAGTGACCTGTTGGAGTGGGCCCGGAACTTGCTGAAAATGTTGTTCATTTTCCTCAGCTCTGTCAGACCACCCCACTGAAGGTTGGTGAACTGCTGGCTACAAACTCACCATCATGAGAGGATTCTGTGGATGAGAATTGTTGGACCTTAGGTAGAAATTTTTATGTTTTAAGTTTAAACACGTTTTATCCCTTTGAGTGAAATCAAAATCAAACAAAGTTCAATGCGAGCTAAAAATTAGAGGTTCAATTTTGTAGTATCAATTAGCGGGCAGAATAGCTATAATTCGTCAAATTTTTTTAGTATCAATTGGTCAAATTTTAAAGGTGAGCCAGGTTGAATGACAATGTGGAAGCAGAAATAAGCACTTTTGAGTTACTTTTTGTCAGGTAAATTCAATTCTATTTACAATGTCAGAATACCTAACTTTCAATCAAATTAAATATTAATTTTGTCATTTAAAATTTTACTAAATTCAATATCAGAAGGGACATAACAAAATAAATACAAGTGATCACTCAACCAGCCAGCTGATTGAGGTGAGTTGTGTACACAGATGTTTTCACACCTCCGAGTCAGGTAGGGACATTTGTACAGGGCAATTCAATATTGCAACTAACAGTGTTTATAAACATATTACTTCACTCATATGGGGTGAAGACAAATGTGAATTGATGGAATAGAAAGAAAAATATGTTATTTTTTTTTAAATTCAATATTGGCTAACAAATAAATATTTTATAACTAAAAGGCATTTTATAACAACCTCCATAGTAACAAAAATTAAACAATCTTACTATGTTTAATACAGTTTGGTTGCTCTTTACAGCAACATTATATTGAGATAAGATTTTTAAAGTTTATTTTTTCTAGTGCATTTAAATTCTTTTTATTTTCTAATATTTAAAAAAAAAATATTTTTTATATGTTTTATTATTATAAATTCTTTACAAAACATTAGAAATGTTATACATAGTGGAAAAAACAAATTTTAAAAAGAATAGCCTCGATGAAAACACATGGCATATAAAAGAAAACACATACTTGCACTAAGATCAACACACTGGCCTAGAACACACTACTGTGTTAAAACCATAAGATCAACACACTACTGTGTTAAAATCATAAGATCAACACACTACTGTGTTAAAACCATAAGACCAACACACTGGCCAAAAACACACTATTGTGTTAAAACCTTAAGACCAACACACTATTGTGTTAAAACCTTAAGACCAACAAACAGGCTTAGAACACACTACTATGTTAAAAACCATAAGTGACTGTTTCTGCTTCCACTTTACCATTCAACCCTGCTCAATCTTTAGACTTGAAGAGAGGGGGAAGAGATGGCAGATGTAAAATATAAAAATAAACTTCACTGCATGCAGTTCACACATGCACAGCACACCACCACTTTTTCAACATAAGTGCCTAGCTCACATAATTAACACATGCTAATTTATGACTGGATATAAAATCTTATTTAGTATTCATGGGAATTTTTTTTTAGTAATACATGAAGCTAAAAATAAACTGATCGATAGATCACATTTTTTTTTTAAAATCCAATTTCTAAATCACGAATGTAATAACATAAACTTTTGTAACTGCAAAAAAGTTAATTAGAAAAACTGTCTTACAAACATATATGTACTTTTTTAGAGCATTGGCTTCTTCACATTGTTAATTAAAAGCTGGAATTTTAAACTAGAAATGTGAGTGTAACAGCATCAGCTCTAAAAGAAGTCCATACATTCTCTGGGTAAATTTGTCTGAACAGGTTTAAAAAAATCACAAAAACTCAGAATATATTATCCACATAGGAAAAATATTTAACAAGCAAGATATATACTAGCTTGAATACAAAATTGGATGTTTCACTGTGGAATATATTATCCACATAGGAAAAATATTTAACAAACAAGATATATACTAGCTTGAATACAAAATTGGATGTTTCACTGTGGAATATATTATCCACATAGGAAAAATATTTAACAAACAAGATATATACTAGCTTGAATACAAAATTGGATGTTTCACTGTGGAATATATTATCTACATGTCACATAGGAAAAATATTTCACAAACAAGATATTAACTAGCTTGGAAATAAATTGGATGTTTCACTGGGGAATATAATATCCACATAGGAAAAATATTTCAGAAACAAGATATATACTAGCTTGAATACAAAATTGGATGTTTCACTGTGGAATATATTATCCACATAGGAAAAATATTTAACAACAAGATATATACTAGCTTGAATACAAAATTGGATGTTTCACTGGGGAATATATAATCCACATAGGAAAAATATTTGACAAACAAAATATATACCAGCTTGGATATAAATTGGATTTTTCACTGTGATAAAAATAATTATAGGTGAAACACAAGAGGAAAGACCATGATGACAGCGAATGCAGCACATCAATTATAATAATTACAAGCAATTATTATATAACACATATATAGAGTAAACAGAATTTTTAAAATATTTCAAAATTTCAAATTAGATTTGAACTTTATTTATTATCGAAACACTGCTGTAGGGAATAATTACTTCATCATGTATTTTCAAGCAGAAGATTGGTCATACATGGGACAGAGTGGCCTAGCGGTAGAGAGCTGGACTGCTAACCCTATAAGTCTCAAGTTTAAATCCAGCTTCCAGTCTGTAGGCAGACCCTGAGTCCACCCAACTCTGATGGGTACCTAACTCGCATTAAAGTAAGTAAAGGTGGCTGGGCATAATGCTGGTCACGATAACCCTTCACATGCCGAGGTCACAGATTACTTGCCCCAACCATCAGGTTTGAAAGGGAACTTTACTTTACTTACTATTTGGTCATACAACTACAGTTATTTTGGTAAACATCAATAGTTATTTTCTCATACTATGATAAATAAATACATCAATGATGTGTGAAAAAAAAAAACAAAGATTTCAGAGTTAAAAAAAATAATTAATTAATCAAATCTTTTTCTTTAAAAATAAATATATTAAAAAAAAAAAATTATTATTAACCTCAGGCTTTCCCTCTCTTAACATATCAGTTAATCAAATGTGAAAGGTTGATAAAAAAAGCCTATCACTTCATAATAGGAAGAGAACAATACTGACGCTGGAATAAAAACTGATGCCACTGAGCGGGAGGAAGTAGTTTCATACAGCCACTCACAACACTTGACATCACCACGTCCAAGTTACTCACTCGGAGTTTAATCAACAGCGGGGATGTCATTAAATGACAAGCACACACAAAAAGAGGGGGGTGGGGGGATGTCATAGCTCACTGGTAGTTAAATCAACAGTGGGGATGCTAATTAATGACAACAAGCACACAATAACAACAACAAAAAAGGGGTGGGGGGGGGGTCACAATAAGTGATAACAATAAGACAGACGAGAGAGGTTTTGGATTTTGTCATAACTCACGGGTATGTGAATTAACTGTGGGGGTTTCAATAAATGACAATGTGCACACAGATGGGGGGGGGGGGGGGGGGAGAGAGGTCCAGAATTTTATCGTTACTCACTTATAGGTAAAGCACAGCAGGGAGAAACAGCTTTGGAATTTAGTGACAAAAGAAACACTATCAGAAAAAAAAATATTTTCATTTTTCTAGCACTAATGCTGTTAAATTGGGCAGTGTAAGGGTCAGGAATATGTTGCAACTACTTGCAGCATAAAAGCTGAATAAATGCTACTTGACTTAGTTACTAATTTCATAAGCATTCCAAATAATAGTTCATCCCCCGCTTTGGCTATTTTAAAACATTGTTTGTGACATAAAATGCTGACCACACTATCCCTTCATTCACAGAAACAGTTCAGCTCTACTTCACTTCCCCCCATGGACCATCAAGTTCGGAAAAGAACTTTACTATTTTCACTAAGCAATAATGATAGGCCTATAGATTTTAAATATGTAATAACATTGCGCACAATTTAAACATATTTTATCGCCACTTTGAGAGCCCACCAATCTATTTCCATTAGTCATTTAACTTAATAGCATTCTGCATTAGTATTAGTCAGTATTAGCCAGTTAGGATAGAAACTATTTTGATTAATTAAAAAAAAAACTTTTTACACCACATTTTGAGAATAAGACTAGATCAGTGGTTCTTAACCTTTTTGGAGTTACTAAACCCCCACCAGTTTCATTGTGCATTCACCAAACCCTTTTAATTGGAAAAATAAAATACAATTTTTTTTTCTAATTCAAAACATAGGTAGATCTAGATTTATATATTTTACTGGTGCACACTCAAAAACTTCGCTCATCAACATCGCTGTGTTAAAAAAAAACGTTTAAGATATGATTAAAATTATTTTCATACAAAAACATTATAAGGCAAATCATTCTGATTTTTGCAGTTGCTTTTCAGACAACAGTTCAGAAAATCATGGCTTCACCAAACATTGAGTTTTATAATTTTCTATCTCTTGCAGCTAGATTAGAATTGCTCAACTTGGCATCGCAAATAATGCTGACTCTGACTCCCATCAAGTTCTGTAATACATGTGAATCCCTCCTGTACATATTTGTCTGACCACTTTCTTTTTTTGTTTTGCTCAATATAGTTAGTATAAATGGATTAAAATATTATGAAATAAATCACGACATTCCATAAGTCAACTGCTGGGCCCTGATATACAAATGAAAAATATATCTGGCACAGCACATATATACATGATTAAGGCGCCCCTGATGACTTTATTCTTGATATGTATTGTATGCCATGGGTTCCACAATATAGACATATCAAGATACAAATACATGTTACTTTGTTCTGACTCACCGAACCACTAGGGTTTGATTAAACCCAGGTTAGGAACCACTGGACTATATCTTGAGTCTAGTAGAGCCTACTAGTACTACTACTTATTATTACTACTAGACTAGATTAACAACAATTTAAATTTAGATTTAAAAAAAAAAAAAAAGTGCTTTTGTGTTTTGATTATTTTTAAATAAAATACTTAATAATATTCAACCGCAGGTGAAAATGAAGCTGTGAATAAATTACACCAAAATGGAATTTTACCAAAAATTAACCAAAATAGAGACTGGTACAGTACAGTATTAGAGTTGATTAGACA